AAAGGTACACACCAATTTCCAGCACAAAGTTGACTAATTTCAATTTCAATTATTTATTCTGGCTAAGGTCACATATATTTTTTCTTACCCAGTAAACAATGAAATAGCAAATCCAAAACTATTTTACAGTTCCAACTAAAGTTACAGATTATATACATTTTATGTTTCCATATTTTTTAAAAAAAAAAGCTCCCATCCTTCCTGGCAGGGAAAGAGATCCCAAAAGGAGAGCAGTAAGAATGTGTGAGCCTCCAGAGAATGGTAATTCTTTATTTTGGCAGCATGCTAAATTACTTTTTGATGACAATTGGCCCAAATATGAATTAGTTTCGATGCCAAATAAGAAACTAGAAACAACCATATTAATAACTGAGGCTTTCACACTGAGATTATAGGCACATGGGATACATGAATATTTACTGTCAGTGTGATAAATAGCAAAATGATGCTGGTGACAGTTACTACTGATGGATAGCTAGCTTGAGTAGGAGGCTGCTGGAGTACAGTCAAAGGCTACAGTAAAGCAGCAGCAGTGAATATGACTGTGGTCTACAGATAAACCCTAGCCCAGATCAAACACACTATTAACAGGTCGGTTATTTACAGACAAACCTGTTGATTCAATGAAATGTGTATAGAGGGGGGAAGACTAAAAGAGCATGACGGCTGACTGATCAACCTTAATTTTTCAAGGTATAAGATAAGATGTACCTTTATTGATCCCCCGTAGGAGAAATTCGAATTAGACACAGTAGTATAGTGCAAAGAGTACAGAAGTGGAGGTACAATAAGATATCACAAAATAAGAGTATTACAAAATATAATGTTATATATTGTTATATATACAATTGTGGACTCAACAACTGTCTATGAAACAGTTTTCCAGTCCAGTGTGTAACATTTACATTTATTGGCAGAAATGGAATACAATATTCATAGATATGTTTTTATTAGTTTATAATCACCTGAATATATGAATCGTTGTGTACCATCGCCTTCCATGGAGTCTGCTTTGTTGAACTTCCATGTTTCTACAGTGACCCAAAGCAGACAAACCAAACACTGGCTGTAGATTGCAGCGTTTCACATACATCGCAGTTTCTCGTACATACTTCCGCAGGTTGGAAAACACAGACGTGAGCACTGCTCAGTTGCAAATATGCCAATAAGTCCTTTACACTTGTCCTTTAATATGAAATGAATGTCAAAATTGTAATCCAAGCATGCATCAAATTGCACCTTTACACCTACAAAATATTTGGTTTTCTAGTCCCCAAAAAACGGGCATGGCTATGACGTTTTGCGATTGTCACATTGTTTACACTGATTGTATTATTATGAGAATATTGATTATAGCCTTTTAAGTGCTTATCTAAAACAAAACAAATACATAAATGGAAGATAGCTGCTTTGAATAATGTGATTTATTTGTTCTTGTTCAACAACATGATGACATTTACGGTGTACAGCCTTGCTTTTCTCAGTACCTGCATGGAGTCAAGTGTATTTACACGTGCTTCGTCCTCAACATCCTTTGCTGTCAGGCTTCACACTCATTTCTCAAACAGCAGGAGATAAAGGTTTGTTTTTGAAAGAGGAGTCACGGAGAGAGAGAGCTGTCCCATCTGTCCCCGAGTTAAAATCTACCACCAGTCTGCATGTAGTCACTCAGTTGGTTGTGACATTACTGAGAGACGTTTAATTGGGAGAGCACAATCAACATGTTTACCAGTTTGTTCTTGGTCAACAAAGAGATTTGCTCTTAGGCCTTAATGACTTAAATCAAGCACAACACAGTCTGTCTTGCGCACAAAGGACAATGCTTCGCCGAGATGACTAACAGCTTTCTTTGGGCTGTCAGCTCATCAGAAAACATGAAAATGCTGCACCAGATGGATGGAGCATGAAAACATCCCTCTCGGTGCATTCGCCAGCGCAACAATCATCGCCACAGCCTCTTGGCTTGCTGCATTAACAGCGCAGGAGCAATCTGGTGTGTAAGAAACTCATTGGTACATCCGACCAAATTTGTTCCTCTCGTCTCCCAGTCCCAGTGTCCACTGCAGGGGGGGAACCAATCCAATCTCCAAGGTGTGATAGAGGTTGGGACCCTGGGATAGCTGATAGCTAAGAGCGGGAGGACAAGAAAGAGAAGATTAGTCAACTTTTTCCTCCTCATCCGCCCTTCCATCATGTATGAAACAGGGTGACATGATCAACTGGGCTGGATCCTCTGAGCTGGGGCTGCCCCCCGACCTAAATCAGGCAGGAAAAAGGCTAAAAATGGATTGATTGCAATGAGGCAAAGGAGAAAGCGAGAGACAAAAGAGACTGATGGATGGATGGATTTGAGGAACTGAGTGCTCCATGAGAGGAAGCTTTGCTATCATGTGATCCTCCAGTGGGACGCAGAGAGACCAGTGACTCCTCTCAAGAAGGAAACTGGAGACACAGGAGCTGTAAGGGAGCATTAATCCTCTTCTCTGGTGCGCTCATGTCTTATAAAGACACATATTTCACAAGACCTTTCTCTCTCAGGGACTTATTTTCACTCATAAATCAAGCTCAACAAGAATTAGAATAAAGCATTTTAACATTTTAATTATTGAGTTCGCTGCTATAACCTAAAACCCCTAGAAACACAATCTCATTCAACCTCTGAGCAAGTTTCACGGAAGATAAAAGGTTATTCTGAGCTTCAGACTCTCTGTCCGCCCTAATCATGCATCCCCCATTGCTGTTTTCAAGCCAAGTTTACTGTACATCGATAAAAACACAGCTGCAGTGATTAATGCTTTGTTCTACTTGGAATAATGATGATCAGTATTTACTCTGAGCAGTGAAAGCCTCAGCCTTCATAACTCACACACAAGGTTGACTGAGAATATGAATTGTAAATCTATCAAGTCCCCAACTGAAATTTGTAAGACGATGATTGCTGCTGTGCGAGTTTTAAATGGTGTTCACCCGGTGTTGATTTTAAGATAGACATCAGATTACTTTTTTTGGCTGTCAGAAGCTGTAGGGAGATGATGTGGCGGCACCTGACTGACAAAAAAGAGGCTGCAGGCTGTGGGTGGATGCCAGAAGCTGCAGTTGACTTGTGCCAACTGTACAGTGAAGCTGAGGCTAAGTGCCGGAGGCTGACAGTAATGGCCGTCAAACAGATCGTAGACAAGGGTTGAGGCAATCCGAAGAAGTTGTCGTCAGGAGCTGGTGTTAAAAGGGTGCAGGTGTACACAAGGCGTGCAAGCAGAAATCATTGCAGATGATAACGGGCCCTGTAGCTGTCATAGTGAAGGCTGCAGCGGCAGGAGGAAGCTGCAGTTGAGATTAGCTACCCACCAACCCATTTTTAAAAAAAAAGTGTAATATTATTTTTTTTATTTGTTTGTTTGTAAAGGAAAAGTATGCATCATAAACAAATGCCACACACCACAATATTTATAGACTGAGCTAATTTGCAGTTGCAAATCCCTAGATGGGCCTTTAAAGTACAAAAGTATAAAACACAAACTCAGTTGTTTATGTGCATTAAAAAAAGAACTCAGCAAGTAATACAGACAGAACTGTACAGGACACAATAAAGGACACACCAGATTGTTCATCACTATGTGACTGATCTCTCTTTTCATTTTGAGTTTGACATGATCCCAGTCAGGATCCAGGTCCCAAATCTCCCAAAAAGAAAAAGCTGTTCTACTCTTTGTGGAACCACAAAGTCACTGAGCCCCTGGGGATTCTGGTCATGTATGCATTTATAAATGCTTTTAAGATTCTGTAAAATTAATTAATTTTTTTTCAAAGCCAGTCCCTGGTATTCTGGAAGATCCACAGACCTCAGTGGAAACAGTTGTCAGAAGTTTATTTATAAGTGAATTTAGAGGTTAACTAATGATTTTACACCCTGTTATTAGCACCTAGTTAGAGTTAAACCACCAAAAAAACAATGTAAGAAATTACAAATTACTAATGTAAGTCTATGTCAGATCAGTTGCTGTACATGGCCTGATATGCATGTGTTTTTGCAGTTGAGAAATTGTCCACGATGCATAATCACATAACAAGTAATTATCCTTACAGATTATTGAGTGAACAATGGTACATTTTTATTTTTATGTGAGTTGACTGCTGGCTGTTGGAGGACACTGGTCGATGAGCTT